CTAGTACAAGCTCTCCAGTCGCTAGTTGTCTGGCAGTGACAGAAGATCTAAATCGCACACTCAATCGATTTTGGGAAGTCGATCACGTTATGTCTCTTCCTGAAACCTCTCCAGAGGAACAAGCCTGTGAACGGTTCTTTCAGGACACGGTGAAGCGCACCAGCGACGGACGCTTCATAGTGCAGCTACCAATCAAATCAGATAAATTAATTAGTCTTGGAGAATCTAGGGATATAGCTACACGTCGTTTCAAATCCTTGGAAAGGCGACTTGTAAACACACCAAAGATGTACACGGATTACAAGCATTTCATGCAAGAGTACATCGATCTCGGGCACATGCGAGAGGTAACACATCCTTTGGAATCCGTCGATAAAACCTACTATCTCCCACACCATGCTGTATATAAGGAGACAAGTACTACAACCAAAATGAGAGTCGTTTTCGATGGCTCCTGCAAAAGTTCATCTGGAGTTTCTTTAAATGAAGTACTAATGGTTGGCCCTACCATCCAGGATGATCTTTTTTCGATATTGGCCAGATTCCGTACATTCAAGTATGCCTTGACTGCTGACATCGCCAAGATGTACAGACAGGTTTTGGTTGATCCCAGTCAAACTGCTCTTCAACGCATTTTGTGGCGTAATTCTATAGATGAACCAATTCGAACATTTGAACTGATGACTGTCACATATGGCACTGCGTCTGCAGCATTTTTATCCATTCGTGCCCTCAGGCAGTTAGCTGAGGACAATATCTTCAAGTTTCCCATCGGAGCCAAAGCTGTACTAAGTGACTTCTACGTCGCTGATTTGGTTACTGGTGCCGACTCATTGCAACAAGCATTAACTATCAAGACCGAGACCTCTCAGCTGCTCACAGAAGGCCGATTTGAGCTACGCAAGTGGGTTTCCAATGAGTCAAGCCTTCAAGACGATTCATCGTTATATCCTCTAAGGGAATTCATTCTATCATCTGACAAAGACAGCGAGACGCGAACGTTGGGCCTTGTATGGCAATATGCATCCGATCACTTCAAGTTTTCTAGCATCGCTTGTCTGCAATCGTTG